GGGAGGCTCCCCAGAAACTCTCTATGGCCACAGGTTGGAATCCCACCAGGATGGGCCCATGGGAGCTCAGAGTGCCAGCAGGCATCACAGAGCCAGAGGGTGGAGGGCCAGCTCCAAGCCACAGTCTGTTCTCTCGCCTCAAGGAAGCCAGACAGGCATGGGGACGGGGCTGAGCCCTCGACCTTCCCTGTCAGGCAGAGTCCCTGCAAGGCCAGGTCCTGGTAAACCTCTCAGATCAGCCACGTGGAGACGGACAGGACACTATGCACACTCCAGGCCTTCCCACGGAGGGAGACACGGACTAGGCAACGGGCTACCAGAGGGGACCCCGATTTTCACTCCCATTCCCAAACCAGCCACCAGTCACAGAGCAGCAGATGGGAGAAAGCTCAGGGCAAGGGAGAGGCCACCCAGCCCGCGACCGCCACGTTCCTCCACAGAGCCCACGACGCTGTGCCCCACACACAGCTCACCAAAGCGCTTCTGCTGCTCCAGCCGCTGCACCTGGTGCCAGGGTTTGGGGGAAACTGTAGCATGTTTTGAAGCTCATCTGGCAAGAACAGCTAAGAAAATCTGAAGCAGGAGAGCCCGACTAAATATGAATAGAAATTATAAAACCTGGCCGAGCATGGTGGCTCACACCTGTAAGCTCAGCACTTTGGGAGCCCAAGGCAGGGGGATCACCTGAGGTCAGGAGTTCAAGACCAGCCTGGCCAACATGGTGAAATCCCTTCTCTACTAAAAATACAAAACAAAATTAGCTGGGCATGGTGGCAGGTGCCTGTAATCCCAGCTACTCGGGGGGCTGAGGCAGGAGGATCGCTTGAACCCAAGATGTGGAGGTTGCAGTGAGCTGAGACTGCGCCACTGTGCTCCAGCCTGGGTGGCAGAGACTCCGTCTCAAAAAAAAAAAAAAGCAATTATAAAACCCAAGTCAGCTAAAATAGGAAAGTACTGAGCAAGGTAAATGCATCGACTGAAGAGACAGTGGACAAAGCTGGTCCTACGACAGGTAAGATTTCCCCGAGTGTGCAGGGAAGAGCACACGGAACCAAGAGAAAGAATTTGTAGTAGGTGGACTCAGGGTGTCTGTTGAAATCTTTGAAAGAAAGTCTACCTGGAGCCTCATCTCACATCGCATGCCAAATTAATCCCAGAAATAACCGTTTGTGAATCCGGAGGGGAGAAAGGCCTGCGTGCGGAGCGACGGAGCGGCCGCCGATGCCAGGACTGCGGACCCTGGTCTTTAGAGCGGCCATCCTCACGGTGAGGCAAGACCCTCTCGGGGTCCACGAGGTAAAACTGCTTTCATAATAATCCCGGAATGTCGTGTGCGCCGCCCACGTCATCTCCGGGTGTAAGTGGGCTTTCCAGAGGCGCCGAGGCGTGCGCCCTCGCAGAGGGCGGAGCGCAGCAGGAAGGACGCTCCCACTGTCTTCTCTTCAGCCAGACTGGCAGACATCTGCCAGACTGTCTTCTCCACTGCCTCCTCACCAAATCATGTTTTGTTTTAGAAAATAGTTTTTACTTAAAACATTGTTTTTATTTTCAAAATAATTATTTTATAACTTTGTTTAAATGTGTAAGACGGTAAATACTGATGGATAAACCTACCTAAGCAAAAGCTCTTTGAGGTCCTCAATGAGTTCTTCTCACAGTGCAAGGACCCTGAGACAGAATGTGTGACAGCTGCCCATGGCCCGTGAGCTCTGAAGTGTGGACAGCTCACTGCCTGTGGCCCGTGAACTCTGAGCGTGGACAGCTCACTGCCCGTGGCCCGTGAACTCTGAGCGTGGACAGCTCACTGCCCGTGGCCCGTGAACTCTGAGCGTGGACAGCTCACTGCCCGTGGCCCGTGAGCTCTGAGCGTGGACAGCTCACTGCCCGTGGCCCGTGAGCTCTGAGCGTGGACAGCTCACTGCCCGTGGCCCGTGAGCTCTGAGTGTGGACAGCTCACTGCCTGTGGCCCGTGAGCTGTGTGTGTGGACAGCTCACTGCCCGTGGCCCGTGAGCTCTGAGTGTGGACAGCTCACTGCCCGTGGCCCGTGAGCTCTGAGTGTGGACAGCTCACTGCCCGTGGCCTGTGAGCTCTGGAGTGCGTGCTGCTGGGTCCGTCTGTGGATCCCAACGCGCTGCAGATCCATTGGTGCAACTAATTCAACAAACCTTCACTGAGTACCTACCACATGGCCAGACACTGTGGCCGGTGCTAATGCTACAGCCATGAAGAAAACAGACAGACATTACCTGCCTGCCTCATGTTCTTGTCTAGCTGACACAGTGCTGTGGAGACTGGCTACATATGTCAGAATTTCAGTAAGATAACGCACACACACACACACACGCGCGCGCAAAGTGAACACTCGGAAAGAGCTGCAGCAAATATGGCACACACCAGGTTAATATCTTTAATACATACCGGGCTCATACAAATGTATCAGACCCCAGAGGATAGAGCAAAGAACACTGACAATCCACAGAAGAGGAAATAGAATCGCTTCACATGAGAGATGCTCGACCGTGCTGGAAATCGATGAAACGCCAACTAAAACACAATGCTACTTTTTCATTATCAAATTAGCAAATATTTAGCCAGGTGATACAATTCCCAGTACCGGCAAGATGGACATGTTTATCCTTGCTGGTGGCAGTAAGTGGACACAAATGTTTCCGGAAACCATTTTGTCAATATGCAGTAAAATCCTCAAAGGTTTTCATATTCTTGAATTCAAGAATCCACCTCTGGGAGTCTATCCTAAGAAAATAACTTGACATTGGGAGACAGCCTTGCGCACAAAGGTTTTCATCAACTTGTAACTGAAATGTTAGTGACAGCGTTAGTGTCTGCACGGGCAGCACAGCCCATCCAGCCGATGGAAGGGTACACGGCCACTCCACAGTCACGTTAGTAATAACACAGGGAGATGCCCACGATAGCTGTGAAAACAGTGGCACAGAACTGTATCGTGACAGAGGACAGCAGCGTAACTGTGTCAAAACAAACTGCAAAGAAACTAGAGTTGGGGGAAGAAGCCTGAGACACCAAAATGTGACATCTTCCTTCCTTCTTTCCTCTACTTGCAAAAATGGACCTGCCATGTGGTTGACACGGATAACGAGAAGCCCTGGGAGGTGTGGCGCTTGTGTATGGCAAGGCCTGAGGCGGGCAGAGCGAGGAGCTGGGTTTCCTCCCATCTCTACCACAGCTGTGCTGTGCCCGCTGCCACCCCAGCCAACCTCAGGTCCCCGGAGAGGCCGGCGGGAGCTGTCAGTTCCGCAGGGAAGGGCCTGCACCCCAGTCTTCTTCCCACTGTGGGAGCTTCTACGGCTGGCCCAGCAGGCTCTCCTGCCTCCCCGTCCCGGGAGCCACGCCCGGTGCCTACCTCCCTAAGCCCGGCCAGCGCTCTCCACGCGACGTGAGCTGAGCCTTAGGGCTGTGTGTGGCTGCGGACGGAGGCGCCTCCGCCGGGCTCTCTCCCCTCTTCCACCCAGATATCTGCCCCCAGCGGTGCCCGCAGCCTGGGTTTTGTCCAATCCCAGGGCTTGTTCCTAAGTGAACCTCGGCCGGTGCCCAGCTCGACCCACGTCCCTCCGTTCCCCGGCAGGCCGGAACCGAACCGCTCGGGTGGTGCCCACCGAAGGCGGCTCTGTCTGCCTCGGGCTGGTCCGGCCGCTCCTCCTCACTGCTCATCACACACTAACCTGGGGCCAATCAAACAGGCCTTCGCTGTTTCCTAGAAGTCACCAAAATGCTTTAGGCATTGAGTGAGTCCCAAGGCCACACTATCCTGGGCCAGGGAGTCGCCCCTTCACTAACTCCCGTCTCTGGTGATTTCCGGGTGTGCAGGGAAGCTCACTTAGCAGAGGGGCGTCGTGTGGAGCAGACAGCAGTCACAGGACAGTCCAAAAAACGTGGGAACCCAGGGAAACAGAATTTCCTTCACCTGCACTGTTCACTGCCTGTCCCTTTTATAAGTCAATACCTGTTTTCTAAAATTTAGAGACATTATAAGCCCCAAATACGTACAAAGCATCTCCATTCTCCCACCTTCTCCTGCCTGATCCCCCAACACTGAGGTCTGCACCACATCCTCCTTAGCTGGGGACTAAGGTGTCTTCCACTAGAGCCACCACGGGGTCCTCACCCTTCCAACGTGGGCTTCGTCCAAGTCCGAGGTGGAGGGCAAGCTCCTGACCCTCTCTCATGTGCTCCATGTTCCAAAGTGCAGGGAGCTTTCAAGAAGGTCCTAAGAGCCACCAGCACACGTCCCGAGCCCACACACGTGAGCACCGAGAGAGAAAACACAAACCACAGCGCCAAACAAAGCTGGAGCGGCTGCTTGGACAGGGCGCCTGCAGGCAAAGGACCCGGCTGCAGGTGTGGACGGCGGTGTGGCCGGCCTCTCCCAGGCAGCCTGGCACAAACACGGCAGGGCTTTCGTCAAGCTACTTGAGTGGAGCCAGGGCTGGCGACATGGCGGAGTTCCTGCCCCGTTTCCACGCTGGGGCTCCTACTCTAGCTGGGCCAGGCCATGTGAAAACCTTCCCGGTGCAAGGTTTTCCCAGGTGCCACTGTCCCCCTTCACTGGGGAGCACGTCTCCCTGGCAGGTACTAGTCTTATCAACACAGCTGCAGCGACAGGACAGAAAGGAGCACAAAGAGAATGCGACCTGTCCCCTCCCATTCACAGAATAGTGGCCCCGCTGCGCGTCCTCCCTCCGTTCATGCTTAATGAGCACCATGGTCCCACCTGGATAGCCTCGGCTGGAGTCCAGGGGAACCGGAAGCCTGTGTTCGGGCAGTTGTTCAGCAGGGCAGCTGGGCTAACGGAGTGGCTGATGAGTGGGCGGCAGGAGTCTGTGGACCCAGCGACCCCCGAGCATTCTTGGTGGTTCTCCAGAATCGCAGTCACTTTTCCCAGCGCCATCAAAACCCTTCAGGAGCGGCCAGGTCCCAGGACCCAACCTCTGGGGTCCCAAGACATATGCATGTCTGTGGGTGGGTGGGTACGGAGTTTGCCCTTCTGCAACCAAGCCAGAACCCTTCAGACAGGGGCAGATGAAGCCAGGTAGGAACCCTGCGGTCCAGGAGGTCACGTCACCGTGGTTCATTTGGCACTGAAATATGGCGGAGCGGCAGAGTCCAAAGGGCATGGCCAAACTCAGTCAGAAAAGGGTTTCTTGGGCCTCTCCCTGTGCGGAGGCATGGGGTCCCTCAGAAGCAGGACATGCCAGTGCGGCACTGCCACCACCCAGGGCCACTGCAGTTCACAGCTCTTTGCTTTTACCAATGCCACCAAGACCCTGGCTGGGTTGCCAGAGGCACACAGCCCCGGCCTCAAGTGCTTACAAATGGTTCCCAAGGGAATGTGTTTTCTCTCGGGCAAAACCAAGACAGCCGATTGCCCAGGCATGGGGCGGACATGCTACAGGGGGTGCCCCTGGAAACCCACAGATGGAGTGTGAGGGGCCGCAGGGGCTGCAGTGACGGCTTACCTGGCACCTGAATGGAGATGGGAAGAGGCCTCAAGCTGGGCCAGGCTCACTATCAGTGACATGGGGCAGGGGCAGGAGTGACTGAATGAGCATCAGCAGCTGTGGCACTGCCCATGGAGATCCTGGGTGGCAAAAGGAGTCACTGGTATCCACCCTCAGCCTGCTATGGCCCTCAGGCATGGGTGTGCAGGAACCCGCAGCCTGAAGGACTTCCCCAGTGGCTGAAACGTCCACCAGGACCTTATTTAGCAGACAAGTTCCAGATTCCCCAAATCCCCAGCCTGATCAGAACACGAGCGAGCGGCTGAAGTCAAGCATTACTGGAGCCGCATCTTCTGAGGGATTCACCTTCAGCTGCAACACTGTTCCTCCCCAGTGAGAGCAAAGGGGCCTCCTAGACTGAACATTCACGTGCAGAGCAGAACCCGGCCCCCGGAAGTGCTGGAACCACACCCCCAGCAGTGACCACTCCTGCACTGATAGCGCGGATGAGGCCCTGTCCGCTGCACTGGGCCCTAGCAGGGCCAGTGGGCATCTTGGGCAGGACGCCAGACCCCCTCTCCAGGCACACCCATCGGGCCACCAGCCTGGCCAGACCCCCTCTCCGGACACACCCATCGAGCCACTACCCTGGCCAGACCGCCTCTCCGGACACACCCATCGAGCCACCAGCCTGGCCACACTGGCTCCTTTCTGTCCGGAGGTCGTCAAAGGGAACCAGGCAACCAGGTGCGGAGCCGCCAAGGGGGCTTACAGAGGGCAGAGCAGGAGCCTCCATGAACCAAGTCGGGCTGGGAGGCGTCAGCCCGCGTGGTCCGTCAGTGTGCAGCCCAGTCCCTGCGTCCCAGCAGCAGAGCGGCAGTCACTGAAACAGCCCGGGATGCCAGCAAAGGGGAGCATGCAGTGCGCGTTAGCAACAGAGCCAGCACGTGGAGTGGGCCGCCGGGCGCCGGAGGGATGGAAGGAAGGTCTCCTCGGGGAGCGGGTCTGGGGAGGCGGGAAGGGAGGTCTTCACACAGGAGCGATGCTGTCGCGCGGCAAAGAGCGCGCACTACCCGGGCGGCTGCAGACGCTGCCAAGGGGTGGCGGGATTCTTAAAGATTCCGCGCCCGGGCGGGCAGGGCTGGCGCTGGACTAGTCCCGTTGGAAGCGGGATGCACCGGGCAAGGCCCCGTGCCCGCGGCGGCCAGCTGGCGGCAGAGCACCTGCCTCTCTCGCACCGCCCTGTTGGACGCCGAAGCCTTCCTGATCTGGGCGCGCCGCGCGTGCCGCAGCGGAGACTTGTACGTTCTCCGGAGCTCCGCCAGGAAGCCCTGGTAGTTGTTGCGCAAGGGGCTGTCGGGCTGCATGTGGGGGATGGCCCACTTCTCCGCCTCCCCAGTCAGTCGAGACACCAGGAAGGCCACGCGCTCGGCCTCGCCGGGGAAGCGGGAGGCCTGGAAGATCATGAATCTGTCCATCTGCATCAGGAACCCCGCCAGCTGGCCTGGGTCCCCGGAAAACGGCTCGGGCAGAGAGGTCGGAGGTGTGGTCATGGGTCGGGTCCCGCTGGAAGTAATGGCAGAAATGGGCGGGGTGATCTGCAGCGCCCCCGGGATCCGCGCCCTGGTGCGCAGCAAGGTCAGCTCCGCCATGACGCTCTCCAGCATGCTGGTGAGGCTGGCCTTCTCCGCCCGCAGGGTGGAGGCCTCCCGCCGCAGCGCCGAGTTGGTGAGGCGCAGGGAGGTCAGGGTGTCGATGACGTCATCCATCGGGGGGCTCGGGGGCGCCGCCGACGCCGGGCTTTCAGCCTTGGATGTCTGCGGCTGCACCATGCCGGCCGGAGGTCGGCCCCGGGTGAGGCCCGCGGGTGGGTCCCCGTGGAAACGGCGGCAGCGTGGGGCGCACGACGGGAGGTGGGCTGTGAGCTCCCCACGCGCAAACCGAGGGCCCGAGAGAGGGGCGCGCGGTGCCCGGCGGGGGCAGGCCCTGGGCACCTCGGCCCCGGCCCCACGCGGCTCCTGGACGCGGGCCTCGCGGGCGAGGGAGCCGGACGGCCCTGGGGGAGGAAGAAAAGACGTTTTTAAGGCTTCGATGGCGACTCGCGGGCAGGACGGCGAGAGGCGGCGTGGAGGGCCCGCGCGTGGGTGGCGCCCGCCCCGCGCCCGCCGGGGGAGAACAAAGGGCGCCGCTGCCCGGCGGCGGGGTCGGCCCGGGCCGGGCAGCGGGGAGAGGGCGCGCGTACCTGGGGTCTCGCGGTTCCTCCGCGGCTCCGTCCGCCGCCGGCCGCGACCAAGATGGCCCGCGCGGGGGACGCGGCCGGGCCGATGAGTCACCGCGCGGCCCGCCGAGAACTGCTTCCCGGTCAGCACGGCCGGGCGACTGCGCGGGCGATGGCGGCGGGCGGCCTCCGGCAGGTGCAGGGACCGGGCCGGGCCGGGCCGGGGCGGGGCGGGGCCGGGGTCGCGGCGGAGGGCGGGTCACCGCGCGGGCTCTGTGCGGGCGGGGCGGCGGCGGCGGCGGCGGCGGCGGGTGGGCCTCGCGCGGGCCCCGCTGGTTGCCATGGCGACGTCCCGCTTCCCGCGTGGGCGGTGACGGCGGCGGGCCCGGCCCCGGAAGTGACGCAGAGTCCCCGCCCCCTTGGCGCGGGCGTCCGCCGCGCGTCCTCCCCGGCAGCCAATCACGGGCCGCTGTGGGTGCCGCGGCCCCTTCATCATGGCGGCTCCTGGTGTCCTCGCGGCCGTTCCAACCCAGAGGGCTCGCGGGGCTCTTTCTGTGCGTTGCCATTGCGGTTTTCTTTGGTAATTTAATTTTCTTCTTATGATGATTTTGTTTTGAGACGGAGTCTCACCCTGTGGACTAGGCTGGAGTGCAATGGCGCGATCTCCGCCCGGGTTCAAGCAGTTCCCCTGCCCCAGCCTCCAGAGTAGCTGGGATTACAGGCGCCTGCCACCACGCCCGGCTGATTCTTGTATTTTTAGTAGAGATGGGGTCTCACCATGTTGGCCTGACTGGTCTCAAACTCTTGACCTCAGGTGATCCACCCGCCTTGGCCTCCCAAAGTGCTGGGATGACAGGCGTGAGCCACCGCGCCAGGCCCGTATTGTGATTTGAATACAATTTAATGTAAGAAATATAATGTAATGTGACAAATGTTGATGTCAGAGATGCTAAAAAAGAAAAACCTTTATGCTACTCAGAATTCCTCCACCTAGAGAGAGCAAATACTGATTTCTTTTTTTTTTTTTTTTTTTTTTTTTGAGACGGAGTTTCACTCTTGTTACCCAGGCTGGAGTGCAATGGCGCGATCTCGGCTCACGGCAACCTCCACCTCCTGGGCTCAGGCAATTCTCCTGCCTCAGCCTTCTGAGTAGCTGGGATTACAGGCACGCGCCACCACGCCCAGCTAGTTTTTTGTATTTTTAGTAGAAACGGGGTTTCACCATGTTGACCAGGTTGGTCTCGATCTCTCGACCTCGTGATCCACCCGCCTCGGCCTCCCAAAGTGCTGGGATTACAGGCTTGAGCCACCGCGCCCAGCCTAAATACTGATTTCTGTTACACACCCACTCAGTTGCCCAGGCTGGTATGCAGTAGCAGCATCAGCTCCCGCCGCCTGGAGCCCAGAGCTCAAGTCAACCTCCCACCTCAGCCTCCCCAGTAACTGGGACCACAGAGGCCACCACACCTGGCTAAGCAAATAGTAATAGTTCTGTCATTCCATCCAGTCATTTTTCTATGATATGTTCTACAAAATATTTTTTACTTTATGAATATTTTGTAACCATAATAGCACATTCAATTTTGAGCATTTTCCTATTAAGGATAGTTCAGAAGCATGATTTGCAGCTACTGCCTGTGGTCCATGGAAATCCTGTACCACAATGTATTTAGCCATAACCTTTTTGATAGATCCTTATCTTGTTTACCGTGCTAAAGTTTTATAAACTACACTTGTATACAAATCCCCACCCTTTTCTGTGCTGGGTTCCCCGGGGTCAATACCAAGGAGTGAAGATACCTGGCTGCTACGCTTTGGCTGTGTCTCCACCCACATCTCATCTTGAGTTGTAACTCCCACAATTACAACATCGTGGGAGGTGACTGAATTATGTGGGCGGGTCCCTCCTTCCCTGTTCTTGTGATAGTGAGTCTCAAGATATCTCATGGTTTTAAAAAGGGGAGTTTCCCTGCACAAGCTCTGAGTTTGCCTGCTGCCGTTCATGTAAGACCTGACTTGTTCCTCCACGCCTCTCACCTTCTGCCATGATTGTGAGCCTCCCCAGCCGTGCAGAACTGTCAGTCCAATAATCCTTTTTCTTTTGTAAATTGCCCAGTCTCAGATATGTCTTTATCAGCAGCATGAAAACAGACTAATATACTGGCCGAAGGGTATAAACTGTTTGATTCCGAGTCTGGATATTTCCAGCTTGACCTTGCTGAGACGCTTCAGCACAGTCAGTTCCAAGCCGGCATGGCTGGGAAGAAAAGATACTGAGAAATAAAAATAAAAATTTAAGCCCCCCAGCCAACTGAACAGACCACTTCTTGGCCAGGGGACCCCAGAGAAACCTGGGAAGCTGAACTCCTGGCCATGGTGGTATGGGAGGTTGGGCACACCTCGATAACTGCCTCCCATTCATAGCCGATAACCACCCTTAGGCTTTTTCCCCCGAAGGGTCAAACAGAAACAAGCCCCTTTGAAAGACTTTAACATTGATATCAACCAACAACTGACCAGCATTCTTTCCTGATAAGAGACCACCAACAAAGGTGTGGTTCTGGCCAGTCTGTGGAGGATGTGCGGTGAAAGTTTTGTTGTTAGAGGGCTGAAAACTCCACCCTCACATCATGCTGACACCACCATGTTTTGTACATCTGACCCATGAAGGGGCAGGAAGCTCAGTTGCACGTGTGCATATTTCTCTTCTCGTCAATATTAATGACTCCTCCTGTAGCTTATTGAATATGTATATTTGGCCATCCTGTTCAACGTAAACTTCTGTCTTACTCTTCCAACCCTTGAAGCGCCTGTTTATGGCTTCTGGCCAGAGGCTACCCTTCCCAGCCTGCACAAATGGCCACTCTGCAGGCTGCAATCTTTTATGAGAAATAAAACTCTCCTTTCCAGGCTTATGAACCTCATCGTTCTTCAGATCACAACACCCAGCATGCCAGTTGTTGAGAACACAGTCTTCAAGGAGGCTGAAGCTGGCAACCATTGCACTCCTAAGGCAGGCCTGGGACCGAGCTAGACTCACTCAGACTTACAGTTTTCACTCAAGAGAATCAAGGAATCAGGATGTTGTTACTGAGCAAATGGTCTTGCTGCCTGATGCACACAGAAGCCAATAATCATGGCACCAGCTTTCTTTTTTTTTTTTTAGACAAGAGTCTCGCTCTGTATCCCAGGCTGGAGTCCAGTGGCATGGTCCACCTCCCATGTTCAAACGATTCTTCTGCCTCAGCCTCCCAAGTAACTGGGACTACAGGTGTGCACCACCACACCTAGCCAGGTTTTTTGTATTTTTAGCAGAGACAGGGTTTCACCATATTGGCCAGGCTGTTCTCAAACTCCTGACCTTGTGATCCACCTGTGTCAGCCTCCCAAAGTGCCGAGATTACAGGCATGAGCCACTGTGCCCAGCCGGCACCAGCTTTTGAGACAAGAAAAGCTTTATTGCAAAACTAACTAGCAAGGAGAGGAGGTGGGCTCGAATCTCTCCCTGATTTGTTGTCTGGGGCAGGTTTTAAGGGCTCAGATGGCAAGAGAAAGTATTTAGAAATGTTGGCCTTTCGGGGTCTGATTGGAGGGCTTCAAGTGTGACTGTACATGGTAATGTATGTTAAAGAAGATTTTCGGCCGGGGGAAGTTGAGATAAGTTGAGTCAGGGGTAGACAAAGGAGAATCCGGTTAAAAGATATTCTGATGAGCAAAACCAGAAAACCTTTTCACATCTCAGTTCTAAAACAAGATCAAACCAGAGATACCTGCAGCCAGGAAGAAGAATGTCTGGATGTAAACAAGCTTTGTGATCACAGGAAATTCTGTTACTTTTTACAACCACTGATTGTGTATCTGACTTTTCAATTGTGTAGGCCATGTAAGGTATACATTTGCATTTCCTCTTGCAACCATTGTGTATCTGATTTCTCTCTTGCATAGGCCATGTAAGGTGTACATTTGCATCTCCTCTTGCTATGACGTAAACCAGAGCCAAGAAAGTGTATTTATTCCTGGCCTTTGAAAAATAAAATTTGCTGTTTAGGCACAGCCTATCAGCCCTCCAGATGCCTCGCTTTCTCTCTCTCTGTCTTTATTACTTTTCCAGGCGCACTCCCTCTTCCAGGTATTGGGACCCTCTTGCAGGTCGAGAGACCCCCCGGCAGACGTGCCTACCCGTCCCGGACAGTCCCCGACAGCCAGCCTGATTTCCATCCTAATGTCTGCATCTATTTTTATCTTGTTTACTGTAGGAATAATGTTTCCATAATCCTAAGACACAGATTGCTCAAAGTGTGAATGTTTCTGAAATCAGTGTTCATCTTACAGTGGCTGTCAAAGACCTGGCCAGTCCCAGGCCTCGGTGGGCATAGAGTGGCCCCACCCTCCGAACGAAGAGGGGTCCTGGGATTTGGGAATTGCCATTTTAAATGTGGTATGAGCGAGTCACCCTACTCAAGGGAGACCCAGCTGCAGAGGCCAAAGGGCGTGACCTCAGCCCGCTCGGTGTCCCCTCAGCCACGTCGCTTCAGTTAATTTGTGGACATCGGTAGCACCACAGCATTTAGACTGAAACCCGAGTGTGCACACCTCACCTGACTTTAGAACTGGGTTTCGTGAGACAAGATGAAAGTATTAAAGGCAAACATCGGCTTCTCTTCGGTCGTCGCAGGCTGCCTGGAGACGTGATGAGTCGTCCACGTGGAAATGAGGAATTCGCGGAGCTGATCTCGGCTCACTGCAATCTCTGCCTCCCGGTTCAAGTGATTCTCCTGCCTCAGCCTCCCTAGTAGCTGGGATTATAGGCGCCCGTCACCATACCGGGCTAATTTTTGTATTTTTAGTAGAGATGGGGTTTCTCCTGACCTCAAGGGATCCATCTGCCTTGGCGTCCCAAAGTGCTGGGATTGCAGGTGTAAGCCACTGCACACAGTCCCTCCTTACCCTTTGAGGCTTATGTTTGAAACTGCATTGGCATCTGTATCGGTCAGCTACAGTCAGCGATGCTGCGTAACAAACCACCCCAAACTCAACAGCTTCAAACAATAATCAAGTCTTCCCTCCGACATGCCTATGGTCAGCTGGAAGTCAGTGAACAAGGGTTGGGCCAGGCTTGACCCTAAGCTGCAGGTTGAATCCAGGTGTACTCCACCCATGTCCATTTGTGGCTGCAAGCCAAAGCAGCGGCAGCTACCTTAGGGCAGCCCTTCTCCC